CATAAAACTGGTATGCCATTAAGACCTATTGTTAGCTTCATAGGATCCCCAACGTACCAACTGTCTAAGTACTTATGCAGAATCTTATCACCGCTTGTTGGAAACTCTGTTCACCACTTACGTAACACCAGTGACTGGATTTCCGTAGCTAATTCTTTGCAACTGGAGCCAGATGAGACAATTGTCTCGTTTGATGTTGTCTCCTTATTTACGTCAATACCAACCGACAAAGCCATATCTGTTGCCTTAAAACGTCTTGAAGCAGATCAAAGCCTTGATGAAAGAACACGATTGCTTCCAGCTGAGATAATTAAGCTTTTGAGTTTTTGCTTTGGTGCCGCGGACTTCCAATTTAGAGACAACTTCTACCACCAGAAACATGGAACAGCAATGGGATCACCCGTCTCGGTTGTAGTAGCTGATCTGGTCATGGAAGAGATCGAAGAAGCGGCAATATCGACGTTTGCACAGCCACCATCACTATTTAAACGATATGTCGACGATACCATCTGCGTTATAAAGAGCTGCCAAGTAGATGCTTTCCATCAACATCTGAACGACCAGGATAAAGAAAACATCCAGTTTACTGTTGAAAAGTACTCCCCTGAAGGGATTCCCTTCCTGGATTCTCTTAATAAGATCAATGACGACGGAACCATCAATATATCCGTCTATCGCAAGAAGACGCACACTGGTAGATATCTAAATTTTGAGAGCCATCATGCAGCTCAGCACAAAGCAGCAGTCGTCCGAACACTATTTAATAGAGCTTCAAGCCATCCTAATACCGACGGTGAAAAAGAAAAAGAGCGACAAGAGGTCTTTAGGTCACTATCGTTAAATAATTATCCTAAAGGGTTTATTCATAAATACAAGCATAACGTAAGCAACGATACAAAACAACAAAAAGAGCCAAATGCTAAGAAGGGTTTTGCAGTCTTACCATACGTTAAGAACATCACAGAACGGGTAAAAAGAATTCTTCAAGACCACGACGTTATGGTAGCGGTGAAACCAATGAACACCATCAAAAGCATGATTTCAAAGCCTAAGGACAGACTGGACGACTACGACAAAACCGGTGTTATTTATCAAATACCGTGCGCTGACTGCTCTACCGTCTACATTGGTGAGACCAAGAGATCTCTGAAGACTAGAGTTTCAGAACATGAAAGGTGTGTGAGATTCGGCCAGACAGATAAGTCTGCACTGTCAGAGCATGCCAATCGCCTTGGTCACAACATCAACTGGAAGGACACCTCCGTCTTAAGTAACGAGACAAGGTGGCACCAAAGGAAGTAGATGGAAGCAGTGTTACTAGCAAAAACAAATAAGATCAACATAATATCAAATAGGGACACTGGAAGAACTCTGCCCGATAGCTACATCCAATTACTTAAAACCATTTAATTTGTCACATTTGCCCTAATGATATTTTTATACCATCTTTCATTTGTAAACAGAGCGCGCGCGTATTGTACAGTTTCCTCGAGCGCTTTCAGTTAACTACGTTTGATAAGATCAGCACGTGTACTACAACCTTGAAAATGGCTGCTTAAGCCGAAAGCTCGGTTAAAAAATAAATCAATTTTGCACAGAAGAATCAACAAGTATCAATATTATCACAATTGTTTATGTTATTGTTCAGTTGTCTTTGCACGAATAATTTTGGAAGTTATTTTTGAAAGTAGAAATAGCCAAATATGTTAATCCAAACATTACCCACTTATGTTTTGTTTATCAAGGGATACACCTAATTGAAGAAACGTTGTCGGGTCCAAAAAGGTCAAATCATAGAAGCTAAGACCGAAAGGGTACTTGGGAWGACAAACAATTTGGCTAATTTCATACAAACAGCTCTCCAGCATAAAATACTAGCATGCTGTTAATCTTACTAGCACTACCTGCTTAGTGTGCATCGTATATGCAAATGTAATCCCAATTTAGTGGTACTCAAAAAGACCTTTTTGGTCTTAGCTTCTATGATGTAACCTTTTCGAACACGACTACGTTTTTTCAATTAGGTGTATATTTCAGACAAATATAGGTAGACATATGAGCTTTTATGCAGAATTACTTTTTTTTTACTAAGAAATCTGCAATTGTTCACTGATATTATAGCATTGCAAAAACAAGTTGTTCATATCCTAGTATATTCCAAAGATTAAGGAACATTTTAAAATCTACAAAAATTACAAACTAACTTGTGTCATGAGAGCAACAAGATTAAACCTATGGCATTAACATAGACAACCTATTGCTCGTGGTTTTCATTGTATGTTATTTTTCAAAAAACATTTCATTTTTTGAGTCATTTTGATAGTAAATAAAATGTTATCAAACAATCAAGAAGGCCTGAGTTTAATGGGTGGGTTGCCTTTGGTAAACCTAACAATGCCAATTTAAACATGAAATTGTTGTATGATTTCAAGTGCATGTAAATACTCATCAATTCCATAATTTGAGGAATATTCTATGTCAGATACAGTTGAATCAAGAATTTCCTGACAAGCAGGGAAAATATCAAATGACGGAGGGTTCAAAATAGGTCGCTCCACTTCTTCATCTGAGAATTGTGTGTCTCCCTCAACACCATAGTGCAAAATMTCTTCCTCTGTTAGATCCATTCCCAGTGGATTTTGCATTTGACCACTTATCCACATTCTTACAGGGCTCGACCTTGTGGTACGCATTCTGTGGATTGACCRTGCCCTTCTCCACACTTCCATTCGTCTGTTGATTTCTCGTTTATAAACATGATGAAGTGCTGCTACATGCAAAGCATTTGATGGATTGAGAAGGTCACTGTCTTCTAGGAAGTAAAAAAGCTTATGGAAAAAACATGACACACCCTGATAGATCTAACCACAACCGTCCAATCCTTTGATTATGAGTGCTTTACCCAGTAATGGTGCTCCCTCTGTTTGTTCCTCTATGGAAAATCATGTAATCAGCTATTGCAACATTCTCGAGTCCCTTATCTGTTCTGACTCTACTTGTTAGGCCATAATTTTCTACAGCTTCAACAAAGTGTTTTAATAAAGTTTCTGCTTGATTGCTGTTTTCACATTTAAGCAGCACAGGAAGACGACTGTATCCATCAATTGCACCACCTGATTAACTTGTGATTAGTGTCCACATGCCAAAGATGGTTTGGGCCAGGGACATTATATACTCGCCTTTTCAATCTGCCTTTTTTTCTTCCTTTAACACCTTCTTCGTCACCTCTGTGCATGCTGTCTCTCAGTCGCATTCTTTGGACTTTGAGTCCTTTTTGGGACAAAATTTTAAAGTTTTAACCATTGTTTCTCCACATCGAGGGAATTCGTGGGCAATTTGTATCATATGTACATCGAGTTCATTGTCAGAAATGTCAGAAAAGTGCAGTTGGCTCAAATTATATATTCTCATTCTACGGTATATAGTACTCTCAGATACGGAAAACATCAATGCAATCTCAGCTACAGAAAATCCTTCTTCCATGAGCGACTCGAGCATATCCTTTGGAATATCATACGAATAGGAACTACCAAAGCCAGTCCGAACTGTTTGTAGTTTATGTCCTACATAGGTTGAACATTTTTGTCGAAGCTTCATCACGTCTGACAGTTCCACAATCCCAAGAGTTTCAAGTTCTCCCGAGTGATTTTCTCATCTTCGAATTTCTTAATTGCGTGACCAAGACCCAATTTTTTCAGGACGTTTGACATTCGCTTGTCCGCCATTTTGTCGAAGGGGACATAGGAAGCCCATTTATAAACAACGCTGACTTGAGCCTCCGTTTTTCATGGCCAGCACCAGGTGTTCATATAACGTCGTGTTCACATAACGTTGTGGTCACATAACGTCGTGTTCATATTACATCGTGTTCATATAATGTTGTGTTCATATAATGTCGTGTTCATATAACAGTCGCGTTCATATAATGTCGTGTTCATATAACGTCGTGTTCATATAACGTCGTGTTCATATAACGTCGTGTTCATATAACGTCGTGTTCATATAACGTCGTGTTCATATAACGTCGTGTTCATATAAGGTTGTGTTTATATAACGTCGTGT